CAAGCACGAGCAACATGTCAACAATTTCAGAGGGTTGATAGTGGTTCATTTCTTTGATTGAATACGCAAGAGAAGACAACGATTGTGACTGCCACAGTTTGAAACCTGTGTTTCAATGATCATTTATTGCCGTGGTCATCCACATAATAACAAACCGCAATAAACAGAGATTCGATGTTTCCGTTTGTTGTTGAATTCTTGTTCGTCGCTCTCCGAAGATTGTGAGCGATTTGAATAGGGATAACAGTTAATTAACTCCATTGAAAAGAAAAACATAAACATAAACAAACGAGAACACCGAGTCTCTGTTTATCATGGGTGGCAGTCATGTGTTCGGTTAACGATTTACTATTGGAAATCTCTTGGATTATTCCATTTGATTCAATCAGAGTTATGAATGAGTATCGACTCTCGAAAACTGTTGAAGAGTCGCAAAAATCAAGCACCCCACATGTGAGAGGCAAGGGGACTCACAAAAATCAAGCACCTCGAAGGGAACAGAGAACTACCACGTCCACGTCGTTGTTCCTGGGTAGCGCTAAGAGTAGTTCATCAATGACTTTGATGGTCCATAACTCGGACCCCAGTGGGCGGATTGTGGACCACAACCAGTGTTTCGTAAAGGGCTTGAAACCAGCTTTCTCATCCCATGGTGAAAAACTAGGGGTTCCATTTAAAAAAACCATCGTGACCCCTGAATGACCTTCAAAATGACCTTCCAAGGATTTTTCAAGGTCAGTACCATACTTCCCCCGTGTAACCCTAAACTTTTCATACGAAACATTTTTCTCTATCCCTACTAGTTTTCGAGATATTTGACTGGATCACTTCAGATGGTCCACCCTGTATAAGTAAATGTTAAGTTTAGTTCCCCCACGTTCAACAATAATGAAATTAGGCTTATTCGATGTGTTTATACATAAAACAAATCTGGCAGTAAAAATTCTCGCTCTGTCCCGGGAAACGATATTAATCGTTATAATTGTTAGGTTAAAAAATCTGTCATTCATTGCGATAAGTAATAATAACAGTTATTTTTAATAATATTCTACGATAATTTTAAAAGAACAATATTAATGATATTGTATGACATATAACATCAAATATTCAATTTTAGTAAGGCGAAAGATTTTACACTTTCCGTAGGGGCCTGATATATTCACGTACGATCGATTTTTAGCATATAAAACTCAGTTTTTAGTAAGGAGAAAAAATTTACATCTTGCGTAGGGGCCCGTTATATTTATGTACGATTCATCAGTTGTTAGTATGGTGAATGGTTTTACATCTTGTATAATGGCCTGCTGCATATTCATGTACAGGCCATTGTTAGTACATAAGATTCATCAGTTTTTAGTAAGACAAACAATTTTTCATATACCTAGTTTTACAATTTATACAAAATGTAAAATCTTTCGACTTACTAAAAACTGATGAGTATTAAGATAGAATCACACGATTCTCGATTTCATGAATGACAAGCATGCATGCATGCATGCACACATGCCTGCTTGGTGCCATGCTTGGTTTGATGCATACATCAGTCTGACGTTTGACAAATAACTATGAAATTAGCAATTATTTTTTTTGATTGGTGCATGCAAAGAAATAACCTATGAAGTAATCTATAATAAATATAAAAATCATGTATATGCACAATGCAGCGCACAATACATGAATGAATTCTAGCATACATCAGAGCAGGCATGACTGTATGCATGCTATCATTCAAGAAATCGAGCATCATGTAATTCCATCTTTATACACTAACAATTCTTACATGAATATAGCATGCCACTACGCAAAGTTTAAATTCTTTCGCCTAACTAAAAACTAATAGGTCCAATATACTAAAAATGAATCAAACATGCATGTAGCAAGCTTACATAAGGCGCATCTTCCGGGTAGAAAATAAACATATAGTAATATTACATAAAATAAAACATTTATGTTACAATTACATTAAGAAGTACCCGATAGTTAAAATTTGTATTTATTTTGTAATATGGTATTTTTTGTAAAATATTCCTTGCGTAGGGGTCTGCATTAAATATGCAAATGTGAACGTAGCATGGCTGACATCCATTCATATCGCTGGAAATGACAGATTTCTTAACTTAACAAAGGGTAACGACTAATACCTCTCTTTGCGGATCAGAACAACTACCAGATTCGTTCGTTCGTAAAAATTCGCCGAATAAGCCTAATTTCATCAAAATTGAACGTGGAGGCGCAAAACTCAACATTTAATAATGTACATTTTATGTATATTGATTACTTTGGGGTATTTTATATGTATATTATTAATGTTTAGTTTCCCTTACGTTCAATCTTGATGAAATTAGTCTTATTTGAAGTGTTTCCACATAAAACAAACAAGTCTGGCAGTTAAAAGTCTTGCTCTGGACCGAATAACGAGATTAATCGTTACAGTTTTTAATTTAGAAAATTCATCATTCTGCTATAATTGATATTAACAGTTATTGTTGTAATATTCTACGGATTTTAAAGAAATAATTCTAAGAATATTATATGACATGAACATTATCATCACACAGCAGAATATTTATTTTTAGTAAGAGTAATAGGCCTTCTACAATAAGCCATTAGTCATAAATCAGAAGTCAGAAACTAAAAATTGACAACTGTGATCAATTTTTAGCTTCTGACTTCTGATTTATGACTAATATTGAAAAAAATGCATGTAATTTTATATGGAAATTACATGTTTATGACTGGAAAATTATTTAAATTACATTAATATGATTGGCAATTTACTGGAAATTGTAACTTTCCAATCAAAATTTTCTTGCCGTCGCAGGCCACTTCTCCTGGGTCATCTCTAATTCTCAGATAGGGTCCTGTTGACGCACATCCGCTCACATCGGCCGGTGCCTTTAGTAATTTTTCTCTATTTTCCTAATGAGAATTTTATTTTAAATTGATCAGTTAATGATATGCGTTATCGGAATCCTCTCAATCTCCAATACACGTTCTAAACGTAGCAACAACTAAAATTTGAGAGCTCTGATGCAGGCGCGTCATTCTTGAAAAGTATCGCACACGAAAATACCGGGAAACCTATAATATTTGTTACTTATGTCATAGTAATTTTTTACATTTTTATATACGACATTTTTAAAGAATGTGGCCCCAAGAAAGATAAATAACTTTTGCGTAATCACTGCGCGTTTAAAGTCGCTGGATTTATGAAAAAAGTGCTCTTTACACTGGCACCTATATTTCAATATAAACTTTTCTTTTAGTATACATCTAAGAAAAACTGCATTTAATTTATTTTATATGTGATATTAACATACAATACAATTAATGAGTTAATATATGTATTTATTAATTATGTATATAGTAAAATTTTATTTTTGATAGAATTCGGAAGTATTACAACAGTAGAACAAATGGAAAATGAGTTGAATAGAAAACAAATTATTGAAAATATCGAAAATATAAAAGGTGATAATGATCCTGATAGAGACTATGAACCATCGGAAGATTCAGCTACTAATACTGATTATGAAAGCAACGAACTTATAAATGAAAATGAAGTGAATACATCCAATTGGTTAAATATATCGACTAATCTTAATTTATCATCAACTGCAAATGCAGCGGGTAAATCAGGATGTGATAATGCACATCTTACGGTTAAAAACTCTTCTAGTGGAATAAAGAAACATTATTGTCTGTATTGTAAATTACCACAATCAAAAATTGCAAGACATTTAGAAAATGTACATTCAACTGAAGAAGATGTTATGAAATTCGTCACATTACCAAAAGGATGCCTTGAATGTAAAAGAATAATTGAAACAATACGCCGAAAAGGAGAATTTGTATTTAATACAAATAAAATATTAAATGATGGTACATTGCTAGACGACCAAACGTTAGATTTAACAAGAAAGCTACTGAATATGAAATATGTGTTAAATGCTATGGTTATTTTTCTAAAAATACTTTACAAAATCATATTCGTAAATGTATAAATATGAGACAGTCTAGAAATCGAATAGTAACAGTCCTCGGACGGACGATTCGCGGAAGAATTCATGAAGTAGCTTCTCAAACTCTAAAAAAAGTGATTTTTCCAGTATTAAGAGAAGACACGTCTTATAAGATATGACAAATTAATTATTCAATATGGTAACAAACTTTGTATGAAATATAAGCTGCAACATCAACATGACATGGTGCGGAATCGATTACGAACACTTGGACGATTTCTAAAAGCATTACGAGAAATAAATAACGAAGTTACAGATTTTGCTTCATTGTATGAACCGAAATATTATGATGATTGTATTAAAGCGGTTTATAAAGTAGCTCGATATGATGAAGAAACTCAGATGTTTGGTGCCGTTTATACAGCATTTCAATTAGGTACATTATTAAAAGAAGTTGGCGAATTATGGCGGTCACAATGTATTAAAAATCATGATCCTAATAAAAAGGTACTAGTTGAAGACTTTCTTTCACTTCGTAAAGAAGATTTTGGTCATTCAGTTAATAAAACAATAATTGAAACAAGAACACATTTTAGACGACAAAAAGTGAAGATAGCTCCCGGTTTAAGCGACATAAAAAAGCTTTACGATTATGTTAATAATGAGAGACGTGAGAAATATAATCTTTTGAAAAAATAATTTTCTTATGATACGTGGTTGTCTTTGGGTGAATGTATATTAACTTCTCTGCAAATATATAACAGGAACCGTGCAGGTGAAACACAAAGGATATTATTAGAGGACTTTTATACTTATGAAGGTTTAAACGAGCAAACTGATCCCGATCTCTTTAAGTCTCTTTCAAATTCAGCAAAAGAAATCGCATTTAAATATGTGCGATTTCAAATTAGAGGAAAACTAGGTCGAACTGTTTCTGTCTTACTACATTTTGATCTTTTAAATTGTATAAATTTATTCATACAGTACCGAGCTCAAGCTAAAATACACCCAAACAACCCGTATCTCTTTGGTATAGTAGGTTTCCATAAGCAAAGACATAAATACTTAAGAGCGTGTGATCTCATGCGAAAATTTGCTAATGAGTGTAATGCTGATAATCCTGAAAGACTGCGAGGTACCCTTCTTAGAAAACAAATAGCAACTAATTGCCATAAATTAAAATTAACAGAACAGGAAGTGTCCGAATTAGCGGATTTTATGGGACACAAAAAAGATACATAAACAATACTATAGATTACCTCGAAAAGAAACTGATATTCTCGTTATCAGTAAATATCTAGATGCTGCAATAGGTACAAGTGATGATTCTGAAAATGATAGTGATAATAGTAATGATGAAGATGGTAATGTTTTTGATGATAAAAATAATAGTAACGATAATAATAATAATAGTAGTATTAACTTGAATAGTACTATTACCGATGATTTCATTAATGATGGTAATAGCATGCAAGGTATAAAACAGCAATTATTATCACTGCGTTATAATTCTTAAACTTTATATTATACAAAAAAAAAGAAAGTTACTTTATGTAAACGTAATTAAAAATGTTATATTATCTATAGAATATAATTTTTTTATTTCTATGTTTATCTACCTTTATCTATTTACATTTTATTTAAGTTATATTCAAATGTTGTCTGTTTATTTACAGATAATAGTTCAAAAAGAAAAAGAATAACAAATCCAAACACAAATACTAGTAAGTACAGTATTTTTACATGGTCAGGCTCGAAATCACTTAATAGTAGCTTATTTAAATTTTAAATACATGTTCCTATTTATACACTTCATAATTTCAAGTTATGCACTCGTGTAAAGTAATAATTTAAATCAATTGTAAATCTTTATATTTATTTACAAAATTTTTTGTCTGTTTAATTACAGAAAGCAAAATGCAATCAAGGTGTAAACGTATACGTTGGAATAATGAGGAAAAACAGATAGTACTAAAAATATTTGACACGTATTTAAATACTTATAAATGCCCTACAAATAAAGAAATTGCAGCTCTAATAAACGCTAATTCCTGTTTACAAACGCGAACTGTGAACCAAGTAAAAGCTTGGTTTAACAATCAACAGAGGAGTATACGTAATAACTCTCAAGCATAATGCTTTATATCATTACTGAAACTTTAATATATTCACTTTTACAAATTTCATTTTCTTTTTTTGTTTCAATAAAAATTAAAAAGTAAGAACGATTAAAATATCAATATTACACATTTTAAAATACTCAGTATTAAAATACTCGATATCATAAATTTGGTTATGTTTAAAGTAATTAAAAATGTATTTTTATAATCTATGTTAAAAAAGTATATATATGTTATACAAATTTGATCAATATTTTATTGTAACGCATAATTATTGAAAGACTAATTTGTTTAACACGAAAGATAAGAACATGAAGAAATGAAGTATACGATGATATAAAACTGATAACTTTTTTATTCAATTACTTTATTCAACAAGAATACTTATCGACCGTAGATCAATACCAACGATACAATAATTAAACGGCTTCATCCACGTACACAAGCTGAATTTAGTGCAGGATCATACAATAATCCATATTTATTATAATCTATAATACAACCAAACGTTTCGGTCTGTCATCAGACCATTCTCAATAGTGTTACATACAATTCAATAAAAATTTTGCAATAAATTTGAATTTTTACAGACCACAATCACTCAAGATGTCATTATACATATCGCTGTCAACAATAATTAAGATGTAATTTTCAAAGTATCATGATTTTCGTCAACTGCATAAACCATGGAAAACATAATATGTCATATCGGTTAAAATGATTTTCATCCTCAGCTTCACATGACAAGTATGCTCTAACCATTAAAAAATTGTTATTCTAAATTACGTTTTTATATTCTATTTTAAATTAATCATTATACAACTATTTACATTATAGATGTGATTAACAGTTATATAATTCTTAGTAATAATCTTTTTTCATCATAATAACCCGACGCACCATTACCTGATATTGACAATATAATAATTTATTTTCATCAATTTGAATAACTAAATTTATAAATTCAAAAAACTTTGCAATACCTGCGTAGAATCATTACAATGTATCACTAAATATACTACACAATTTATCAAAGACATTTTTTCAACGCTAATAACAGTTATTATAAAGAATGCTAAGACGAGCTGCAAGATATATGTTTTCCATGGTTTATGCAGTTGACGAAAATCATGATACTTCGAAAATTACATCTTAATTATTGTTGACAGCGATATGTATAATGACATCTTGAGTGATTGTGGTCTGTAAAAATTCAAATTTATTGCGAAATTTTTATTGAATTGTATGTAACACTATTGAGAATGGTCTGATGACAGACCGAAACGTTTGGTTGTATTATAAATTATAATAAATATGGATTATTGTATGATCCTGCACTAAATTCAGCTTGTGTACGTGGATAAAGCCGTTTAATTATTGTGTTGTTACTTTATTCAAACCCGAAATCTGTAATTACTAATTAAATAACGACTCTGAGAATATATGCATTTATAATCAAGATAATTTAAAACATGTCAGTAAAAGCTAATGAACAATCTATACCCATTATTATATCTACCACCGACGAGATACTATTAAAGATCGATATTCTTATGGGAGTTAGAATGTCTGTAAAATTTAAGTGATTAAGAGTAAGAAACTGATAATATAGTACTAATTTTATGATTTATTAGTTTCATAGACATGTATCTATATTTAGAACTCAATAATAATCGAATTTTAATTAAAACTGTAATTTTAATATTATCGTCCGAGTTTGATCAATAGAGATGGTAACTGTATAGAAAAAATCAATGTGTGTATCAATGCCAATCGAGTCTAAACACTAGGTGTAATTGTGTGTCAAATTCTTTATTGTATTAAAATATATACGTTTCGATCCTTGTATCGGATCCTTATCAATATTTCTTAGTTACTACGTTACATCAATGTGCTCCCTAGAACAATGATATAATGTTAGTATGTGTGAAAATCATGCTACTCTTCTGCAAATTTGCATGTTGACGATAGACATGAAGAGTAGCATGATTTTCACACATACTAACATTATATCATTGTTCTAGGGAGCACATTGATGTAACGTAGTAACTAAGAAATATTGATAAGGATCCGATACAAGGATCGAAACGTATATATTTTAATACAATAAAGAATTTGATACACAATTACACTTAGTGTTTAGACTCGATTGGCACTGATACACACATTGATTTATTCATACGAGTCAATAATCAAAGAATTTTCATATTGTATAGAAAAATTGAAATTTTGCAGTAATATAAATATTATAGCATACAAGTATGCATACTTATTTTTGGAGCATTTATATAATAAAAAA